GTGTGTGTGTGTGTGTGTGTGTGTGTGTGTGTGTGTGTGTGTGTGTGTGTGTGCGCGTGTGTGCGATTCCGTGTATGTATAACATGTTTTCACCTTAACCTCGCCGCTGAAAATCACTGTTTGTGGAGATAAATAAACTGTTATCTTCTTTTCTATAAAATTTGTTAGCATCAAAAGGCTGTTACTGTTAATGATAAACACAGTCTGTTCCTGTTTAAACTAGTAACACTTTTACATGTTTTTTTAAAAAAATGCCAGTTGTCCATGGAGAGAACTGAAGAGCTATTTATTTTTGTCCATGAAGAAGAAAATCAGTGTCCCCCATCTCTTCGCCGCGTGCTCTTTTTTCTCGGCGTGTTTACTATGATTTTCCTGCTTGAAAAATTACCGAATTAATCATTAACAAACATTATAACCGACCGCTGAACCTATTGGAATCATCCCGTGTTGTGGAGAACTTTGGTTCTAATCAATCGTGAATATAATAAGTTTTTGTCCTGTGGTGTTTACGAAATCTTAATGGCTCTGTAAAATGTTCCAGTTTTATCGCAGACAGCTCGTAAATTGTAGGCACGTCTTCCAAAAGAATCGTACTGTTTTGGAAACAGAGTAAAATCAACATTGAACTGCTAGAGAGGTTCAGTCCCAGTACCTCGTGAAAAATTCTCGAGATATGGAAGACTACTCCACGATTGGAAGGAACCTCCCCTCCCCCCCCCCCCCCCCCCCCCCCTTTCCACTCCTTAAACACATACACACGGACAACCGTTTTTCTATAAAAATACATGTACGGCTACCCCCCTCCCCCCAAAAAAAGTACAACAAACCCCGAAACAAAACAAAACAAAACATAACAAAACAAACAAAAAAACAAAGGAACAAAAACCTTCCTGGTTCAGGCATGTATACACCACATTCCTTTCAACTGCTTTCTAGAAATCATCTAAAAAGAGGAAAGACTAAGAGAGGAGTCTTTTTATTTCAACGAGAGCAGAGCGAGCATTTTGTATTCTCACAGACAACGTTTTCCTATTTTGTATTTTATTACATGTACTTGTATCATTGAATTCTAATTTCTTTTTAATCTGTTATAAAGTGAATCACAGCTAGACAGAAGTACTTTCCCGAGAGACCAACCTACACCATCCGAAAGATGTATGGCCGTCAATCTACCTCAATGCTGGGCAGTGTCCTCTACGTCATACTGCTGACGTCATGCTTTGAAGTTGTCTCAGCAGACCGCCATTGTGAGAAGGTGGACGCGTGCAGTTGCCGGTACAAGGACAGCGGAGGACTTGTCACAATGAGGACACTGGCTAGCCGGGACGGAACACCCAGGTGAGAGAACCATTTTCTTACGACAATTATTCAGACGCATTTCTCGTCTTCGCAGAACTGTTGACCCGAAATCTAATTTAGCTCTAATTCGTAACTTGACACCCGATTAAAACGTTTTTGTTGTTGTTGGTTTTTTTGGGGGTTTTTTTTTGGGGGGGGGGCACCAAAATATTTTTTTAAATTGATCGTTTCCTGTGTCTCCATAAGTGGGACGTACATTTATTCAACCGATCATCATGTCTACAAGGTTGAATCACTAAGGGAAATTGGAGTTGACAGAGTACACTATAAAAATGGAAATTGGCCAGGATAAACTTTGACACGCCCAAGATTATACCGATGAGCAGATGGTAAACTGTAGAGATGTTATAATATGATTGCACTGTGACCATGGTCAAAGTGATAAGCATGCACAATAGATCTGAACGGACATTCCTTTGTGGCAAAAAAGGCGAGTAAAACGGGGATG